ACTTACCTCAAGCGGCTCCTGGAAGCAGCAGCATGTCCCTTCTCTGGGTCCTACATGGACACATGGCCAGGCAGCTCTGCACACTGCCCCATCCGCAGGCACTGCCCCTGCAGCTCCCATTGGAACACCAGAGGGGGCCACTGGAGCACGTAAGAGCTGGAGCGGTGCAGACCGGCATGGTGCGGCCCCCAACCCTGTGCCCTGGCCGGCGTGGGACCAAACCGCTGGTGCAGTCCCCGACCCAGCAGCCTGGCCCGAGTGGGGCCGAGTTGTGTGGTGTGGCCCCTGACTCAGCGCCCCAGCCAGAGCAGGGCCAAGCTGCATGGTGCAGTTCTCAGGCCAGCTTAAAACAGCTTGTGGGCCGGATCAGCCTGTGGGCTGTAGTTTGCCCACCCCTGATTTAAACCCTTCTTGACCCTATGGTGAAAAAGATGATGTTGGCAAACGGTATTCATATTTGTTTTGGTAAAATTAGATGCTGACTCTGAAATCTCCACTTTGTCTATGATGAGTTCTCACAGCTAGAAATTTGCTCTGAATTGAGATTTTCATTTTCCCTGTAAGTTGTTCTAAGGAGAAAAGTAATGTAGGGAATTTATATTACTGTGGGTTCTGCAGGCGTATGCTGAACTTCTGATGGGATGGGATGTGATGCTGACAGAGGTAGGTACCAGCTCTTGCTAAGGCTTTAGGCCTCAGCTGAGCACTGACAAATTCATTGCTGGAAACCAGTCTGTTTCACCTGTGCATTAGTATGGTTAAGATGAATACTGAACTTATAACAATGTGTTTAGACTTTATGAAATGCTTGCAAATTGCAGCATGCATTAATCTCACTTATTATATCAGGGGTAGGCAACCTGCGGCACATGAGCTGATTTTCAGTGGCACTCACACTGCCCGGTGTGGCCACCGGTCCGGGGGGGCTCTGCATTTTAATTTAATTTTAAATGAAGCTTCTTAAACATTTTTAAAACCTTATTTACTTTACATACAACAATAGTTTAGACCTTCTAAAAATGTTAAAATGTATTACTGGCACGCCAAACCTTAAATTAGAGTGAATAAATGAAGACTCGGCACACCACTTCTGAAAGGTTGCCGACCCCTGTATTATATCTTTATCACATGCTATAAGGCAGGGGTGGCCAGCCTGAGAAGGAGCCAGAATTTACCAATGTATATTGCCAAAGAGCCACAGTAATAAGTCAGCAGCCCCCCATCAGCTCCCCAGCCCCTCTCACCTGCCGGCAGCCCCCACCAATCAGCACCTACTCCCCCCTCTCGCCGCCCACCACAATCAGCTGTTTCACATGCATAGGAGGCTATGGGGGGGAGGGCGGAGGAACGAGGACATGCAAGGCTCAGGGGAAGGGGCAGGGGCCTTGGGGGAAGGGGTGGAGTGGGGGTAGGGTTTAGGGCAGAGCAGTGAGCACCCCCCAGCAAACTGGAAAGTTAGAATCTATAGCTCCAGCCCCAGAATCAGTGCTGAGGTAAGGAGCTGCATATTAGCCTCTGAAGAGCCATATGCGGCTCTGGAGCCACAGGTTGGCCACCCCTGCTATAAGGTAATATTTAAGGTTCTGCTTTGTAAAAACCTTTTGGCCTGAAACTGAACCCAGTCAGGAGGGATCGTCTTCTAGCCATCAAAAAGGCCTATCAAAACTACGAGCCACTGTGGGACATCACAATACAAAGACTTTGTTAACTGCCCTTTCACATCTATAAAGAGGCTATACGCAAAAGGGCTCTTCCTATCAGCTTGAATTCTGAAAAAAAAAGAAATAAAAATAGCTGATGAGGAAATTTTTCATCTCTCTTTTGCTGTCTGGACTCTTATGTAGACATATCCTCAGCTAGACGCCTGTGGCAGCCAACTTGGGCTCGTGGGGCTTGGGCTGTGAGTCTGTTTCACTGCTGTGTGGACTTCCAGGCAAGGCCTGGAGCCCTGGCTCTAGGGCCTTGTGAGGGTTCCAGAACCTGGGGTCCAGCCCAGGCCCAGAAGCAGAGCTTAATTTGTGCCAGGGTTTGCCAGGGCTGAGCCCTGGCACCTCTAGGCTTGGCAGTTCATACCCCCGCTGCCACCTCTGGGCTTGCTGTGTCAGTTATGAAAATATAAAAATTGCTTGAGTCTCGGTACCTAATTGCTTAAGTCCAGCACCTCTTTCATTACAAATGAAGTACTGTCCAGAAGTCTACACAGCAATGAAACAGCCCCACGAGTCCAAGTCAGCTGGCATGGTCCAGCCACGGGTGTCAGTTGCTGTGCAGACATATCCTGACAGGGCCAGAACTACGAACCAGAAGCAGAGATCCCCAGGGTCAACCTTGGTTAGCCCTAAAAGGCATTTAGTGCCGACAGATCACTACAACTCTGTCACCTTTTCAAACCACAGACTGTAACTCAGTTGTGTATATATGCTTGCCTGCTTTAAACGTTATAATAATGCTAATTTCTTTTTCCTAGTTAATAAATACTTTAGTTAATTGTAGGATTGGCTACAAGTGTTGTCTTTGAGAAATCTACGGTACAGATTGATCTGGGGAGGTAAGCGAGTGGTCTCTTGGGACTGGAAGCAACCTGAATATTTTGTGATCTTTGGTGTATAGCAACCAACTTGCCTGGGTGACAAGATAGTCTCTTTGGGCATTTCAGTCTGTCTGTAACTCCATGGTAAGACTGTTGTGATACTTTAGGGGTTCATACTTGTTACTGGATTGGTAAATCTAATTATAGAACATACAACCAGTTTGGGATCCCTGCCCTGCTTCTTGACAGTCTGCCTTGAGGCTGGCACTCATGGCCGTGAGCCACTCCAGACAGTCTGATGGTAGGATTTCCCCTTACATGTCCGAGTTCAGTGTAGCTGCTCTTGTAAGCTCAGCAAAGGTGGGGACACTAAAGTAAAGATTGGCAAAGGAGTTATGAAACAATAAAAATTACCATATTACTTCCACTTCTATTTACAAACAGATAAAAAAAGCAATATTTGGGAAATGAAAGAGGTAAAATTAGTTTTTACGGAAAAACCACAGTGAAGCATTAGAGATAAAAACTTCTAAATTTAAAACTCGTAAAAAGGATGAACATCCACTTGCGGTTTCAGGTACCACACCTACTCCTTCCTGTCCTTCTGCCTGTTGTTAATTTTTTTAAAAAGTGTGTTTTTCTCTCACCTGTTTGAAAAATCTAAACAGGGGAAACTAAGTAGCTTATATATAGGAAAAAAACAGTGAAAATGTCTGTACACAAAGTTCTGTAAATACACAAACAGAGAACTCTCCCCCCCCCTTTTCCAGTTTAGTGACCTTCGGAACTACTTACAACAAAAGCAGGTAAATACTTTTAGTACAGAAACTTGATTTCTAAATTGATAGTGTCCCTTTAACCACAAGTGGACATAACCAAAAGCTCTGGGACAGGACAGCAATGACAATGTGCAAGGGATATACATATCGTTTGTATTATGTACACAGTATTTGCATTACTTCTCAAATGTCCATTAATGCAAAGGTAACCTCTCATTTTCACTCAAATTTAGTTCCATTCAAAACAAATATCTTGTCTTCTCATTACTGCAAAGTATTTACATTGTGAACCCGTCCATTGTCTTCCCTTTCTCCATTACATAAGCTTCTTGACCCCACCTTGAAGGTCTCTTGTTCCTACTTTCAAGGCCCTAGGAGGAATGCCCATCCTCCCCCTTCATTCATCTCCTCCAGTGATACCTCATTTGTCCACTTCTTCCACAATAGTCTACATGCCTTTTTTCACACTGCCCTGAACATCTATCCTGAACTGGCCCACAAAGAGACAAACCTTTTCTCATTTAAAACCCTCTGCTGCAACTAGCTGCAGTGAGTTAATGACATTTATTTTAATATATAAAATTAGAAATTGCTCCATCTGGCTGCACTCATGCCTTTGCTGAAAATATCTTACTGGTCTAACCACATCTTTCCTCCCTGTCTCCACTCCATTGTTTCTTTGCCCATTTCTGTTGTTACAGGTCTGGAACTAACTAGACTGCAAGAATTTCAAGGCAGAGACCCTGTCTGATCGATACTGCACCTGAGGGTGCTGTAAATAACAAGGAAAAGGAGTACTTGTGGCACCTTAGAGACTAACCAATTTATTTGAGCATAAGCTTTCGTGAGCTACAGCTCACTTCATCGGATGCATACTGTGGAAAGTGTAGAAGATCTTTTTATATACACACAAAGCATGCTTCTACATGCTTCAAAGATCTTCTACACTTTCCACAGTATGCATCCGATGAAGTGAGCTGTAGCTCACGAAAGCTTATGCTCAAATAAATTGGTTAGTTTCTAAGTTGCCACAAGTACTCGTTTTCTTTTTGTGAATACAGACTAACACGGCTGTTACTCTGAAACCTGTCATTAAATAACAAGGGTTATATCAGGCCGTAGAAAGTCTGACACGTTAAAGGAAGCAATCCCGCATGGTTTAATGTTTCTTGCACTATTATTTTCCTGGCCTCTCTCATCTGGGGCCTCTGAACGTGCCTTGGGGAAACTATCACACACAAATCCAACCGCCTTTGGGGGAACCAGATTTTTTCTCTCCTGAGCTGACTGGGAGCCAGAGCAGCTGCTGCCAGGCTACCCCACAGGGGGACAGACAGGGACCCCACCCCCGGTTGGGGAGAAGCTTGGGGGCAGGGGCGCCGCTATGGCTGTGTGCAGGAACGGGATGACCCCGCGTAGAGGGAAGCGGCGCAGGACACGCCCTCCTCAGTGAGAAAGGGGTTTAGGGCAGGGGTTCGGCGGGCAGGGGGCGTAGGCAGGACCCTCAGCCGCCCTTGTCCAGCCCAACACCCCATCCCCACCGCCCCCTCAGATACCCCGCCCCCCACTGTAGTCGCTCTTATCCAGCCCGACAGCCCCATCTCCCCGGCCCCTCAGACGCCCCGCAGCCACCGCGGGCCCCGCAGCAGCCCGAGACTCTCCCCCAGCCGCTGTCGGGCCCCCGACGCTACCTGCTGACCGCTCGGCCCGCAGCGCTGCACAGGGAGAACATGGGGGCGGCGGGGCTGCAGCTGCCAAGGGCGCCCGAGCCCAGGCGCACGCTCCGCTGCCATGTGCCCGCGGGCAAGTGTCGGCTTCGCTAAGCGGCGCATCCACTTCCGCCGGCCGCGCCTCCCCCACGCTCCCCCCGCCCCGGCGCGGCAACTACGGAGCTCCTCTGCCAGCGCCGTGGGGAGGGAGCATCTGGACACGGGAACCCTGCAGCAGCGGCAGCAGCCAGCCCTGCTCCGGCCGGGCTTCTCGCCCCTTGCACGGTAAGGGTTCCGCCACCGCCCTCCGTCCCCAGTGCGGGGGCTGCGCTGTGGGCGCTCCCGTGCCGCAGCGGGAATAATGCTGCCGCCTGGGGGGAATCGGGCTCTTCCAAGAGTCTCTCCGAGAAGGGAGAGTGCAGCAGGGCATCCCTTGTGCCTCCTTCCCCGTGCGAGGCAATGCAGGGGAAGGTCTCCCGGGCGGCAGCCGCCCCCACCCGTCTGCTTCGGACCCGGGTACCACACCCTGAGCTGGGGCAGAGCAGATGGGTGAGAAAAGCCATTTCAGCCAGATTGGCTAGCTGCGCGATTGAGCGGGTTGCCAAGGGGCCCTGGGGCTGAACATGGGCAGCGTTGGCTGGTGCCTGCCCCTGCTGAGCTTGTTGCGATGCCTTGGACTGGGGGAGTCTGTCAAATCTAATATACAGCATGTCAATGCACGTAGTGAACCATAGAGAAGCTAATGGACAATGATCTTTAGAATGTGTGTATTATATATGTTTTCAATTACTTAAATTCCTATGAGTGTATAGAGTGTATATTATTGTGATCTTTGCTGTACCGTATACAATGAAACCTGCTCTACTGCATGCAGCTTCTTTCAAAGGATCACTTGAAAGTAGGGTCAAAATATCTGGTATATTTTGTAAGATTATTACTTGCACATCACCTCAAATAGGTAACCCACTTCTGCTAGGCTCCTGAATGGCTGCTTAAGATGGTTGAACCACATCTATAGTATAACCAGTATTCTATAAACAAAGATGCTTTTTACAGGTGTGGCCTTTTGCCTAAATGTTAAATCTCAGATTTTCTTTTTCTAAAGCATAGGTAAACACTGCTCTTTTTCAAAAATAAATTCTGTTTAGTGGTTTAGGAAAAAAACTCAGAAAAAGTTAGAACTAATTTTCCTCCCAAAGAGAAGTTATATAACTCCTAATAGATGCTGAATGCAAATCAGGCTGAGTCAGCAGCATGTCACTAATCACAAGTTTGCACTGAGGTCACAGTGTTTTAGTTTTCAGTCTAAAGAGAAAATAAGCCATTCTGTAGCACAGTATCAGAAAATGGAAGTGTATAATTATGCCAGTGGTGAGACATCTGTCCATGTACTTTTAAATTATTTTTTATTTGAGTGAGTGTTCCTGCTTCCAGTTGCATGTGCTTTAGTAATGAAATCAAAACTGTATTTTTGAGCAAAATGAATTGATTAAATTACCCATAACAAACTTTTATGAACTCCTTCAGGAATTAATTCAAGGAAGTCCTATGACCTGTTTTATGCAGGTGGTCCTACTGGATGATCACAATGGTCCTTTCTGGCCTTATGATTTATGAATCTGATTGAAATAAATAAATGTCTAGTGATACCCTTCTTGATATGCTTTTTGATGAAGATTCAGTGGTGCATATTTTGTACATCCAAAATTCTTAGTGAAGTTAATGGGACTTTGGGGTGTGCAGAGTATTCAGGGATTGGTCCTAAAGTACCATTCTTATCAATGTTAAAAATGTCTCTATATTTCTTTTAATATTTTTATTTTTATAATTTAGGTGAAGTTCATAAGCTTCTAAAATGTCATCAGTCAAACGCCTAGTATATGCGGTCATCCATTTCTTGAGAGAACAGAGTCAGCTGGATGCTTTCACTTCAGATGAACAAGAAAGCTTGGAAGGTAAATACTGAAGGCCACATATCTGTATGCTAGGTTGGTTGACATATACATCATGACAAAAAGCAATGTGAATGAACTATATTCATTATTCATGTTGTCTTATGATAAAATTATTGTATTTTGTCTCTTATATGTCAGGAAGTTGTTATTATTTGAACAATTTGTTTCCTTATCCTGTAGATTCCAATATTCTCTCTGTCGGTTTATCTATTTCCAAGGAAAGTTGCCAGTTTTGGATTAGGAATGGGAGGAGTCGGAGTTTCACAAAAACTTTGTGAAATGTTTTAGAATTTTTGTTATTAAAGGAAAAAGATCTTCATTTCTGAAATAGATTAAAATTTTACATGTCCACAAGATTCTAATCCTAAAATCTGGGTAAATTTGAAGAGGTCCTAAAGTTATTGGCACTGCATTGTCTTATTTCTGAGCAACTAGCACTTTCAATTATGCTAAGGATTTAAATTAGGTAATACCATTGTCCCAACCACTGGGGGGATGATGTGGACTGGCTTTTGTCTCACTCAATTTTCATGCCTGATGTCCCTCAATTTTTCATATGTGCTATCATCTGTGGATAACACACTGAAGAACAACACTTTTGTCAACAACATCTGTATTGGCAAGCAGGGTTGGGGCAGGGGCCGGAGTGGGAGGGGGGCTAAATCATGAGCAGCCATATTCTACCTTGATGCACATGAAGAGCTCTTGTTAATGTTAATAGGAGTTCTATGTACTATTTGAGGACAGGCTTGGGCCTCTGAGAGTGAATGCACAAAGAATGCACCATTTATATGTCTTGACAAACATGTTTTATTGTAAGAGCAGTATTGCGGAAGAGGGCTGTTATCAGTGATTGCAAGTATCACATAGTGGTAAGGATTCTCGTCAGATATATTTTTGTCTTGGCAAAGGAAGATTAAGTTACAGCAAACTAAGACCACTTTACTCCTGAATAGGAACATCCAAATAGGGGTTTAACATGCTTTAATTTGTATGCATTGACTTCACAGGTTTAGTTGATTCACCTTAATTTTCTTAAGTGCCCCCATGCAGACATGCCTTTACCAAAGTTTTGAGTATGGTTAACTCCTTCCCTGCTGACTCTCTACATTTTTTTAGAACCTGGTTTAGTGTGCACTCTTCTTGAGCCATGTTTAAACATATCATTCAATCACAGATTCCCTGCTTGTGTAAACGTGGTTTCAGATATGGTTTCTACTAGACTAGATGTATGTAACACAGTTGTTCACTAATGTGGACAGGAAAGAGAGATTTGGGTTTTCTATACTGTTGTTTTTAAAACATATTTTAAAGATTCAGTTTAACAACAAAAGCTGAAATAGTCAGTGCATTTGATATGCGATGAACAACTATATTAATTTAAAAATCCCAATACCTGTTAAAAACTTATTTCCAGTTGATAAAAAGGCCACGCTTTTAGAAATAAAATTATGAAGTAGGAATTTTTTATTCATATTGTTTTTTAATAAAATACTGTTAAATGTTGATGGTTTGTAACTAAGAAGGGTTAACTGATCACTTATTTGACACAGATGTTGGCTAGAGTTGCCCTGAGGCAAATGAACTACAATTTTAACAGAGATTTATTTTCTAAACAAATGGATTATAATACTTTTAATGGCATGTAAATGCTCAGAGATAAAATTGAACATTTCCACAATTGAGCATATTTTAACAGAGAAGTGAAGTCCTAATTTTAGAGTTTTATGTTGCCAAAAATATGGTACCATATGCTACATTATACAATATACAGCATCTGTGCCAACCAATCTGTATAGTTGATCCTTTTTTAGCAATAGAAGTTAACTTTATTTTATGTGAAATAAATGTCACACCAAATCTTGCCCATGAATGTGTGAACATAGCTCTCAACAAGGCTGTGAAGGAAGAATTTGGTCCATGCAGTACATGGGTACTTTGTGTACCTTGCAGTGTGCTGTGGGGTTGTAAAGCATTGTATAATTGTTAACTATCAAATACCAAACAAACTATACAAAAAAAAATCAACCAGTTGAAGACTATCAAAATAAAAGTATAGCATGCTTTTCAAAGCCATCTTTTATTGATAAAATGTATTCTGATTGGCTGAAGCATACAAGTATATCAGACTATAGGTGAAGTTCACCCCAGTGTAGAAGGACTGCTCATTTGCATGTTTCATTTGTGACATTCACTCACCTGCATAAACAGAAATCAGAGGGTGGACTGGGGAGGTGACACGCACCCTGCCATTTCCAGGGTCTGGATCTGCTGGGTGCATCCAGGACAAAGTCTCTGGTTGACAACTCCTCTGGTACAATGGAACTCTCAACAACAAGAGTAAAGATTATCTGTGCATGAGACACAACTTTCATGTGTGGGTGGGGAACGGCCTGAGACTGGAATAAACTCTCCCAAAAACTAAGAACAACACAAACCTCAATACTTTCTGCTCTGAGTGCAAGATGCATTTCTTTGATCTTACTTCCTCTAACGCAAACACATAGCAACAGAAATATGTATTTAAAATAAATAAAACCTTACCAAAAACAAGACTCTCCACTACAAATGCTTCTCCCGCTGGGGAGAGAATGAGAGAAAACCGTCACATAATGCATTATGGGAAGGTGCTCAGAAACTATGGTGATGAGCATGGTATGAAAGCCTGAATAGAATAGAATAGTCCTCTTGCATCTGATTCTCCAGCTTCAGTCCTTCCACCTCATTTATGCAGTGTGTTTAAATGGCTGCTTTTGTTCTTCCCTTGGCCATTCCAGCATCTACACTTCATTGCTGTCTTCAGCACCTGTGTATGTGGGATCAGTGTGTAGTTTTGAACTGGAATTATTTGGGGGAAGTTTTATTACCAATTATTACATGAGGTCAGACTAGACGATCCAAGTGGTCCCTTCTGTCCTTGGAATCTGTGACCTCTCATACACTGCACCAACAGGTAGTGTAAGACGTGATTGATCCTAGTAAGGGCCACCACCGCAAAGCCTGTGGTTTAGGTAAAGCAGAGGGCCTTGCAATGGTCCTGTGAATCATGGTGAATTTCACTGAGGGCTTAAGTGGTGTGGAAAACCTTGCCTAGCCCTCTGCTCTGGGGTGAATTCATCTGCCTGTGACAGTCAGATAGCAGGAGTGTGGTAGTGGGACAGAGAGCAAGTGGCGTCTATTCCATGCAAATATCCTTCAGACAAATAATTGCAACTGCTGCATATAATTGGAGTGAAATCCTGGCTCCATTTTGATGTCGATGGGGTTAAGATTTCACCCTGGTTGCTTAGTATATTAAAAAATTACACATTGTCAAAAGATCAGTCTCTCCCATTTTGAAAATAAATATTTGTGCTTTGGCTCCACCTTTATTTTTAATAAAGTCTTTAGTTTTGGTTTGCCATTTACATAGCAGCAGGAGACTATCATTCAGTGGGAGCAAAACGTCTGTTTCATTGCTTTATCCGGTAAGGGTACTAACATTTGTTAAACTTGTGGCAGAGGAATTATAAAGATTCAGATTGTGTTAATTTTTCAATTAAATGGGAATTGTGGGAGCTCACTGTCATATATGAGCCAGTTATTTCTACCATGGAAATGTATTCTAATATTAATAATACATCCAGAATATTTGATGTAAGCATAATGTGATCTGTTAGAATTGAGAGTTCTCTTCCCCCCCTTCCTGGAACAGAAACAAACAAGAAGAGGAGCTAGGAGTCATCACAGAGACTTAATGCGTTTCCCCCCCAAAAGTGAGAAGAGTGAAAACTGAAATTTTTTTTTAAGTGTTTTAACCTATAGTTTCTGTTCTTAGGCTGAGTTAAAAATGAGGTGAGGCATTTAGAAAAGGGATTGCCTGAGGATAAAAATAAGTGTGATGGAGTATGTGTCCTCCCACCGCATCCGTGGCCACCCCAGGAACTGCTCAGACTCTCTTCCTTTAGTGTCCACTCAGTATAACTTAGTCAAGCCCCCTCCACCAACATCTGTACAGCGCAAAACAAGAGTCCTAATTCCTATGACCTTCAGCCCCTATTCATCAGGGCTCTGAGAGGAAGAGAGGTCTTGCTTCCTTGGGATCGCCTTCAATCTGGGCACAGCTAATCCTGTCCTCCGCACAACACTTCCTAGCTTTTATCAGGCTAGTCAGCTGATGCACCAGTTAATTCCTTAACTCATCCAGCCTCCCCCTCTGATTCCTTCCTATTTCCTCAATCAGCTATTGCTGGGGAAACTAATGAGGCTACAGTGATCAGAGTGCTGATTCGTCTGTCATGACTCAGCACTCTGTCGCAGATGGGTTGCTGAGTTACCCTCCAAGGGAAAGCCCCAATTTATTATTTATATATGACAGTTAATACTTTATATTAAATTGTTAAGAGAAACTGGATACCCGGTTCCATTGATTCTCTGGTAGGCATTATAAAAGTACTATTAATATAATTCACATTATTGTTAATGGAATTGTGCATGTAGTTTTCCACAGAACATGTACTGCATGGAAATGCAGTGGGATATTTTACTTGCCTTTCACTTCAGAAGATAAGATTTGAATATAGGTTACAAATAAAATTGGTTTGAAAGTCACCAATTCACCATTAGATCTTCATTAACAAGATAAAATCAATATTCAGTTTACCATAATTACGCTTCTTGTCGTTGAGGTCTCGTGCAAGGAAGAGAAGGAATTTAACTCAGACCCTGAATTGTTTTTTACTGAATGACTCAGAACCTGGTTAACATTACAGAACACAGAAGCAAACTTTCTGTGCAGTGTGTTAATAATTAGCCATGTACCCAATCAATATTAAAGAGTCATTGTCAGCATAAAATATGTAGGAATTTTACTTACTTTTGTTACTTTTAACTTACTATATGTTATAATTAAATCTATTTTACATTTTACCATTTATGCTGGGTATTTACTTTTAACATTTCTCTCAGCTGGGACAATAAAAAACAGACTCCTTAACATCAGTTATTGTTAATTTTTAGTAGATTTTCCTTTCCGATTCCCCTACACTAACTCAATATTATCATTGTTCAGATTCACAATGTCACATCTGAAAGTTAAAATTAGAATGGACCCTCAACACCCAAGATCCTGATGCCCCCTTAACTTTTGGGAAGTTCAGACCCTGATTTGAATTTGGTTTCTTGAAGTTATCTCTGGTTTAAATTAAAAAAAAAAAAACCACCCTGTTTTTATTAAATTTTATTAAAATATTTAAAAAAACCGATAAGAATAAGTTTCTATTCATATCCGTTTAAAAAAAACAAACATTTCATATCCTTTTTCAGTTTTGATTCTAAAACTAGCAGACAATGTACCTTAATGGGAGTCATGCTGCTGGATTCCCACACAATGTGTTGAATACTTGCCCCATAACCTTAAGATACATGAATGAGACACCCTCTCTAAGCTATGTATAAAGATTACAGTCTTTGACTGTGTCTGCAAACACTTAAGCATGTCACTGATGTGCAGTCCTATAGACATAATTGGAACTGTTTACATGAGTAAAGTTATGAACTTGCTTAAATGTTTGGAGGATTGGGGCCCTCTGATCCTGGGAAGGGATCTGCTCTTGTGGATCCTTAGGCTCGGGCATCAGTGGGACTTTGTGTGAGTGCAAGGGACTTCGCAGGTGGATTCCTTTGCAGGATGAGAGCCTATGATTAATGAGGCAGTTATTTGTAGAAATCTTTGGTTTGCATAGTAAAAATGGACACATTTGAAAACAGTAATTATTACTTAGATATTTCAGTTTAGAATTGGCCCATCTTTTGTGTTACACATAATGTCAGAAATGTGGTGCTTTCACGCATCTAATTATATGTAGTAGACAATTATAAAAATAGCAGTTTTTTATGTGTAGCTGGTTTATATGTCTGCATTACATATATATGTACTGTTTTATCTTGTTTTTAAATTTAGTCGTAGGTCAAAAATGGAATAAAAAAAAGTGAGTATTAAAAGAAGTGTGTCTGGGTCAGGAATTAAGTTTGGTGGCTGAGCTATATCTAGACACTAAAGAGCTTCTTCCTCTATTGCCTTGCAAAGTTGCCTAGTAGAGACTAAATAGGTTATTTATTTTTTCTTTCCATTGGGGGAACTTCTCCAAAGAACTGCCTTTTGTTTTTAGGCTTAATTAGCCAACAAATATGTCAGGAAGCGTACCTTTGCCTTATTTATTTTTAGTTTTATTAGTTAGTTTTATTTACACATTTCTATTGAGAAAATGATTTTTTTTTAATCATGATTTCATTTCTTTGAAGTTGCAATTCAGTGTTTGGAGACTGTTTTTAAGATTAGCCTAGAAGATACGCATCTTGCAGTGCCACAGCACTTGACAGAAATGTTCTCAAATTCTTTTCACAAGGTAAGAATTGATTTTAGTCTTTAGGGTTACTTTATCATTAGCCAGTTAAGATTGTGACTATGGTGTGGAATGTTAAAATGTTATATGTGTCAAAACAATGTGGAAACTTGATAAAAATGATGTTCAGATGAAATTCTTGTAATAGGTAGGGGAACAGGATAGTTTTTGGACTCTGACAGGACATAAATTCAGTCAAATCAAAGATAACCCATGTAAAATATGTTACTAAAAAGAATGGGCTTCTTTCTATCATGAAGGATACTTGCCCTCAGTGAAACTTAGGCATTTTGCAATTCCAAAGACAGTTGACTAGAAACTGATTGAGGTCAGCCACAGCTTCCTGGTCCCTCTGTCCCCAGCTCCAGTGCGTATCCCCTCCATGGAGAAAATGTAGTCTCTTAAAGTATTCCATACCACCAGTTTAGGTAAGACTAAAAGCTATACTTTTAAAATTCAAAGGGGTCCAACATAGGAAAAATACTGTTGGCGCCAGGAAAGCAGAGAGAAAATTTGAGAGGAAGAAAATGGGGATATCAGAGGTCATACTAAAAAAAACAAACCCCACTTTCCTGGGGCAGAGGAATATTGTTGTAAGATTTTTAAGTGGGAACAGACAACTATCTTGGTCTAGTGTGTATTACAGAAATGGTATGATCGCTTGCTGACGTAAGGTCTAATGGTGCAATCACTAAAAGGTATCTGTGTTTACACAACCCCTTTCAGGATGAAGGTTGTGGAAGAAGCCATTAATGTAGCCAGGGCCTAGACCTGAATCAGAATATACTTCTGGTTTATTTATTTGTTTATTTTTAATGTAGAATGACATGTTGCCTCTCTCCGATTCGTTGCCAGAAGATATTGAAAAGGCTGACCAGCTGAAGGATGAAGGTGCGTAATTGATAAGGATGTGTCATGCTGTCTGGAGTAGCTCATGACCGTGAGTGCCAACCTCAGGGGAGACTGTCAAAAAGCAGGGCAGAAACCCCAAACTGGTTGAGAAAACTCCTTTGTTTGCTCCAGTACTTTGAGCTGCAATGTGTGAGCTCTGTATTTAGCTTCCAGTTGTTCCATGCATCTGTGGTGGGTTGTCTCCTCAGCCTCTTCGGTTTCTTTGATCTTCTTGATCTGGAAGTCCACCATCAGTCTCTGGGGCTTACGTTCTTCCTGAGCTGCTCGGTACAAGCAGTCAAGCCAGATCCACTGCAGCAGGCTCTATGGAATCTGGGGCAAGTGGGTGCTTAGCTCCTGATCTGGGCATTTCTGTTTATTGGATATTCCTCTCTCCTTACATAACGGTTCAAGGTCTTTTGTCTCAAGACCATAACTGTGGTCCATTCGTGTCTATTTTTTAACCTTTAAACACTCTCAATATCAAGTTTTAACTTTTAACAGCTCTGGATTATGATCTATAAATCCAATTGACCTGTAACATGTGAATCCTGCCACCTATTATCAAATGTTATACTGTCTGGAGTGGCTCCTGACCATGAGTGCCAATCTCAGGACAGACTGTCAAAAGCCAGGGCAGACGCCCCAAACTGGTTGTGTGGTGTATAATTAGATTTCACCAACCCAGTAACAAGTTTGAACTCCTAAAGCCCTATAACAGTTTTACCATGGAATCACAAACTGTCCCCTTGGTCATCCCAGTCTATTTTGCCACCCAGGCAAGCTGACTATGTGATAGATGGTCACTTTACACCAAAAAACACAACAATATTCAGGTTACTTCCAATCCCAAAGGACCAGTCACTTATCCCAGGTCATTTGTACTCGGATCTCAACCAAAGACAATGCCTGTAGCCAATCCTGTAATAAATTAACTAAAGATTTATTAACTAAGAAATAAGAGCGTTATTTACAAGGCTGAAACAGGAAACACACTCACAAATGAGTTACTGTCTTAGTTTTAAAAAAGGTAGTATAAGTTTCTGTAATAAGCAACTCTATATGACCTTTAGGGCCTACCTGTGCCAAGCACCATGAGGATCTCTTGCTTATGCTTAGGAATCTTGGCCCCTCAGAGACCAAACAGCATAAAGACACAAGTTTCTCCTTGTCAGGGATTTTTTTCTCTTCTTCACCCCAGATTCGAAGCTGGTGGGGTGAGTTCATGTGCAGGTTTCCCCTTCCTGGAGGGAGTTAGAAATGCAGTCAACAAGGTATTTGTCCCTTGGTGCTACACAATGCCTCATTTGCCTACAGTGGACCATCTTATGTGCAGAACGAGCACTTTACCTTAATTAATGCTTCTTTTCCTCTTTGGCAGGTTACACAATTAGAGGTTTACAATGCTAACATTCAATATAACTCTATACCATGGGCTACAGATATTATAAGTAGGATTAATACATGCAGCATTCCATTAAGTCTAAACAGTAAGCACATTCTTATAATACTAATGCCTATTTTAACTATACTAATCCAGAGGTAAGACAGACTGCTTTCCAGCTATGCGTTTGTCAGTGATGCCCTGGGTCTTGTCATGAGCTGGCACCTTGTCAGCCAGCATCACAGGGAGTAATAATTTCACGCTGTCCTGGGTTTTGGCAATATTAGGGTGTTGGCATAGCTCAGTCAGTGGCAGTATTTGTATCTGGACTACAAGTTCTATGTGAAAACTTGGGCTTATAGCTAATGCTGACAGTGTAGTGCAGTACCAGGGATGTGGTATTATGGGGTCAGAGCTGTGCTTCATGGGAGATATAAAACCGAGGTTCATCCTGTCCCTTTGCTGATGGCTGGTTAAGAGGAAGTTAAAACAAGGGAAAACCATGAAGCCCTGGCTAACATTCCCTATTTGAGTAGTAGAGATTCTAATGAATGCGTGGCTGTTGTTGAGCACATTATGGCTTCCTGTATTTGCCAGTACAGTTTCTACTCAACAGTATCCAATTCATTACTTTGTAAAGGGTATGCGATGGTTTGAGTATAAATTATCTTCAAAGTGCAGAATGCCCTCAGCACCCAGTGCAGTCACTGGGTTTTTATTTTCAAATCCTGGCCCCAGTGAAGTCAATGGAAAGCTCCCACTGACTTCATTAAACCCTAGATTTTACTCATTATATAAAACAGTTTTACATTATGTAAAATCACGGTAAAATGAGTTATGTTCCTAATTTAAAAAATCCATTTCCAGATTCTTTTGCATTGGACTAATTTAAAATATGTGGAGTGCATGTGGTAGGTTTTAATGTTAATGAAAGTAAGAAGTGTAGCACTGTTTACAGATATGCAGGGCTATTGAATAGATTAAGGCTTTATTTATATTGTAGTTTGGGTATAAATTCAGATTTGTAGATATTATGCATAAAACCCAGATTAGTATGTTTACATTTGAGAGGTGGAAGTAGCCTCCTGGGAAAAGTTTTTAATAAAGTGAAACAGAAAAAATTTGGCTGGATTTCAATAGGCAGCAGGTTTAAAACAAACAGAAGGAAGTATTTTTTCACATAATGCACAGTCAACCTGTGGAACTTCTTGCCAGAGGGTGTTGTGAAGGCCAAGACTTTTCAAAAAAGAACTAGATAAATTCATGGAGGATAGGTTGATGGAATGGCTATTAGCCAGGATGGGCAGGGATTGTGTCTCTACCCTCTGTTTACCAGAATCTGGGAATAGGTGACACTTGATGATTACCTGTTCTTTCTCTCTGGGGCATCTGGCATTGGCCACTGTCGGAAGACAGGATACTGGGCTACATGGACCTTTGGTCTGACCCGGTATGGCTGTTCTTATGTTCTTAGGTCAAGGTCTCTCATTTTAAATGGTCAGCTGCAGCTGTTGCAAATGACAAGGAATAATATATTCCACTCTTGGCTTTATAAAGTACACTTAAAAAAAAGCTTAGCTAGGTGATGAAGTGGGTCGTTAGCCTTTCATTTCTGGAGATATGAGTTCAAACCTGGTTAGGTCAGAAGTGAAAATTAATTGGAGAATCTTAACATAGTTGCTCTGGAATGGCTTTTCACTTCATTAACTGTCTGCTTCTATGTGGTGTTGAGCACCTTATGGAAGGTACAAAATGCCCTCAACACCCAGTGCAGTTGTTGGGCTTTACTGGTACTCAGCACCTCGTCAAAGTAGGCACTGTAGCAGTGTGTAATCTACTTCAATGTACAGTCTGATTTAAGGATAGACCATCAATTGAAATAGCAGGTTAGGAGTTGGGGGCATTGATAGGTCTGGCTGGAGATGCCTGGAAAGTGTGTCTGTCTTTTCCTAGTTAAATTCAAGCTTCTTGTCCTTACCTTCAGGGTCCTTCATAATTTGGTCCCTTCCTGCTCTTGTCACTCCAACTTCCCTCAGCTCCTCCACTCTAGCCTCATGCACCTGCACGCATCTCATGGGCCTTGTTCACACTGTCCTTTATGCATGGAACATCTTCCCTGAACTCATTCATAAGCTACCAACTCTGTCCTTATTAATACCCCTCTCTGGTGTGATGCCTCAAAGGAATCAGCCAATTAATAATTCAGCAGCAAACTGGAGAATTGACACTTTGCATTATTATAGTTTTTAAAAAGCATTATTTTACACACACATACACACTTAATATATATTTAATTATATTCCTTCCCCCCCCCCCAAATATTTCACTTGATTTCTTAGCTTCTAATCTCTGGAGCAGGAACTGTGGGTTTTGTGTGTGTTTGTACAGCACCTATGTATAATGTGGGGCTTGATCCTAATTAGGGCCTTTGGGCAATACTGCAGTATAAATATTATGTAATAATAGCTAGTGCTTCAGTTCCAGAAAGACACAAATTTATCCCTAAAGTAAAACAATTTGTTTTTCTTGAGGCATTTTTTCTGACACTATAATAAAATGTAATAAATTGTCATGGCTACTTTTCTGTTATGCAGAGTCCCAAATCCCACAATCTGAGCAGAACTAGCATCTCTGGCTGGATTCCTATGCTCTTGGAGTCAAATTCAGGGCTTGGGTTAGCAAGATTGGGGTAAATGGGTGTCAGCTTTGAATTTGGCTCCATGTCTCAAGCAGTACTTTTTTCAGAATCGTAGCAGAGATTCCAAAGTCTTAGATTCGATGCATATGCAGTTATAAAACTTTTTTTTTTTAAACTGGTAGGTAGGATATTACTAGGCCTACTAATAGTCCCTGTTATACAAGTATTGAGAATACTAGCTCGAACCTGCCCTATCTTACCTACCTAGTTATTTTTTACATTCTCACTGTTTCTTGACAGTGGAAGCATTATTTTTTTATGAGATTACAAGTTTGGTTGATAAAAGTAATAGTGTTGATGTAATATACTTAAACTTCTCTAAGGCATTTGATTTGGTACCTCATTGTTACTGGGGTTTTCAGAACCCTCAACAGTGGTAACTTAACTATTTCACTCCAGCTGTGTCAGGAATAAATCAATAGAAACACAGCAATTCTGTCTGATTAGAGATTAAATACAAGTCAGCGTGCTCTTATCTGATACTGCAGTTTATTAGATTTAAGCACACACAGACATAGGCAATAGGTTTAGAACATCCCAGATATTTACCTAACATCTGGAACAGTATTGAGTAATTAACAGCAGGTTCGCAGTGGCCGATTGGTCACCCAGCGGGGAGAAAGGGTGTTGGGAAAAACATCTCTCAAGATGGCTTCAGAGGACTGCTCCAAAGTACACTATGTTAGCTAGTCTTTTATAACTAACTTCTACAAAACACATAGTCATAATGACCCCTACTGGATCATCACTTTTCCTAACTTTCAATAAACTTCTAATATCAGAGGAGCCCAGACTCAAGGTCTTCCAACCACCAAGGTTTTCAGTCTCAGTTGTTTACTTTCTTTCCCCTTCTCCCATTCTGATTAGCAGAAACTGTCAGCTAGATTTTGACTTTGCTTCTGAAAGCCTGTCTCCAAATTAATCTTTAAGTATGTGGTCTATTTCATTAATTCATAGTGGCTGAGTGCACATAATATGGTTGAAATTGGCTTGATCACATTTTGCATACACACACCCCTCAAACCCAGGGTAACACCATGACAGTTTGATTAAAAAAACTAGAAAGAAAGAAAATTAACATAGCTTACATTAAATGGATTAAAATTAATTGACAAATCTGTAAATGTAATTGTAAACAGGGAAGAATCATCAAGTGGGTGTGTTTCCAGTGGGGTCCTGCAGTGATTCGTTCTTGGCTCTATGCTATTTTACATTTTTATTAATGTCCTGGGATAAATTATAACATCATCACTGATACAGTTTGCAGATGACACAAAAATTGGGGATATGGTAAATAGTGAAGAGGACAGGTCACTGATTCAGAGTGATCTGGATCAGCTGGTCAACTGGGGACAAGCAAACAATATGCATTCTAATACAGCTAAATATAAATAATGTAAGCTATACTTACGGGATGGGGGGACTCTATCCTGGGATGCAGTGCCTCTGAAAAAGATTTGGGGGTGTGGTGGATAATCAGCTGAACATGAGTTCCCAGTGTGAGACTGTGGCCAAAAGAGCGAATGTGATCCTGGGATGCATAAACGGGAATCTCTGGAGCAGAGAGGTTATTTTACCTCTGTATTTGGCACTGGTGTGACTGTTGCTGGAATACTGTGCCCAGTTCTGGTGCCTACAATTCAAGAAGAATGTTGGTAAATTGGAGAAGATTCAGAGAAGTGCCACAAAAATGATTCAAGGATTAGAAAGCATGCCTTACAACAGTTGAGCCCTTTGAGTCTATCTATTTAGCTTAACAGAGGCTTAAGGGGTGACTTGATTATAGTTTAAGTATTAGGGATGTAAATATCGTTTTAAAAGTTAACCATTTAAATTATTAAAATATTTCATTTAAATGGTTAATTGATTAAAAGGAGGGGGACTGGGGTCGGGTTCAGCTGGCTGGCATGGCTGGGGCTGCTCTGGCTGGCTGGTGTGGCTGGGGTTGGGTTTGGCCGGCTGGGGCCGATCTGGCTGCGCAGCGCGGGGCCGCTGGGGTTGGCGGGTGGGCCAGCCTGGGGGTTAACGGTTAAGGCGGGTTAACCGGTAAGACCAGTGCTTACCAGTTAACATTTTACATCCTGAATAAGCATCTGCAGAGGGAACAAATATTTAATAATGGGTTCTTCAGTCTAGCGGAGAAGGTTTAACACTATCTAGTAGCTGGAAGTTGAAGCTTGACAAATTCAGACTGGAAACAAGGTGTGAATTTAACGGTGACAGTAATTAACCACTGGACCCATTTACCAACGGTCATGGTAGATTCTCTCTCTCAGACAATTTGTAAATCAAATGGGATTTTTTCTAAAAACTGTGCTCTAAGGGTTATTTTGGGGAAGTGCCATGACTTGTGTTATGTAGGAAGGCAGATAAGATCATCACAATGGTCCCTTCTGTTTTGTAATCTAAGAAAAACAGAAACATGCTTAGCTGTTTTCAGTCATTGTCTGAGATGAGAACTGCCCCTTGCAGGTCTTTCTCGGTCACAGCTGCAGCCACACTGGATGGACCTGCCCAGTCTATGCATCCATAGTAACCTGTTGACTCACGCCCAATGCTAAAGAGAGAATTTACCTGACTAGGTGAAAAGTTAGTGACCTGTCACCTAGGCCTGTCATTCATTTCAAATTACATTATTGTTGGAATTAATTTGTGATCCATTAGCTATGTTACTCAACTCTACTCCCTGTTACGCTTACCTGGCTCTGTGAAGATTATGCATTCCTTCCAAATGGAAGTGACTTTGCTAATATGTGAAATATTTATGATTCAACTTCTCATACACAATTAGGTTACTTGTGGCAATATAGTATCAGTTATAACAGAGCTGAAAAGTTGGTATGGTTCTGTTAATTTGGAATGTTGGTTCTTTCACTGCCAATGGCTGAGACTGAAGGATCTCTTCCTCATTCAGCCGTGTGTCCTGCATGGGGAGGACTCGGCGCCTTCTGGAGCATGTCAGATCTCTGTACTCTCTCTACACTTTGTAGGATACTCTTCTTCGTTCATAATTTCTTTGTGGTGTTCCTTCTGTTACCTTGGCCCATTTGCCAGAACTTCAAGTTTTGTTAGTCTTTTCCTGTTAAATCTGAGCTTTTTCCCTGCCTGAGTGGGATTATGGCCTGTGCCTGTGCCTGTACTGCTGCCAGACATGGTGCAAGGGATGGGGAGAAAAGGAAGGCAGGGTCCTTTTTCCTTTTACTGTACTGGTGCGGCTTTGTGTTTTTCCTTTCCTCGATGCATAACAATTTTAGTCTCCTAAGAGTTGACTAGTGATGCATCTGCTGAGGTGTTGGTGAGTACTTTTGCATCTGAGTCATTTTATGGCACTTGTGGTATATGTGTCCTCAGCATCTTCATGAAAGAGCTACTGGTAGCTGCACGGGACTGTTCATTTACCTGCCCATCTTTGTTTTCCTTGTTTTTAGAGTCTTCATATTATGGTTGTAGTTACAGGCAAGTTTGGGTGCATTAAATCAAAAAGGATCTCCACATATAGATCATTAAGTTGTGAGACCTGCTGGGATATCCATCCTGACCAATCCAAACTGCAGCTAAGTTGTTGTGGTTGACCAGCCCACTGGGCCAGTTCCCTGCTGTTGAGGAAGGAACCAGTTTGTTGGGAACTGCCTTGTAAGTATGTAGAGTATTGAGAGGGCAGTAAACATTAAGTGTTGTGCTGCTTTGTAGATAACAGGTGTGTATGAAAAAAGCGTATTGTATATTCAGCAGACTAATACAAAATCTTTTTCTGAAAAGTTAATCACAATAGGCAACACAGTCCCAACTGCTTTGTGAGGTACTGTAGTGTAGTGATTCTGCTCTGTGTTTATCTTTCAGGTATAGAATTACACCTTTAATTATCTTAAACCATCATTTTTACAATTTATTTCAGGTAATAATCACATGAAGGAAGAAAATTATGTTGCTGCAGTGGATTGTTATACTCATGCTATAGAGCTGGATCCAAATAATGCAGTGTATTATTGTAACAGGTAAAAAATAACAAAAAATCCCTTAAACTTCATAGAGATAATTGTAAAAAGAAAAACCAAACTAGATCAAAACAAGGTGAAGTGAAAAGCCCTCATTTTCAGCGAGTAACAACATTTGATTTATATCAGTTTGGTTATGCAAATTTTAAAATGTATCATTTCAACTATACTCAAATTGTTGTCTTCATTATATTTGTAGTGTGGATTTTAACTTTGTTTCAAGACTTTATTTGGTGACTGATGTTGGCAGCTTGAAGTAACTTCTATACAAGAAATTAGTAAAGGTCTGATTCAAAGCCCATTTGAGCTAGTGGGAGCCCTTCTATGGAATTCTAATGGATTGGGCCTAATATGCTTTAATTTTCCAGAGCAAAAAATATTTGTAAAGTGCTTTGAAGATGTAAAACGTTATATAGGAGCTAAATACCTTTATGCCGGGATTATTGCAAAAGTAACAGTTCTACATAATGCACTTCTAATACAGATTTTACTCCTTAGTTACTAAACAAGTGAATTATGTAGTAGATAGAGACAAGCACAAGGAGGCAGAGGATCCACAAACATTTACCAAGATGGCATTACTTATTTAAGGCAGTAGTGCAGAGTTTGAACCATATCTTTTCTCTGATAAGACAGCAGTGCTATAAATTCTCTCTAGATGTAAACTGGTCATGTAGGACCTGATCCAAAGCCCATTGAAGCCAATTGAAAGACTCCCATTAACTCCAATAGCCTGTGAATAAGCCCAAAATGTGTGTAATTAGCAACACAACTAACTACTACTACTTTGATATTCAGTGAGTATGCAAAGCATGTGTAACTTGCAATGATTTTGTACTGTAAAACAGACCAAATTCAGCCCTGGCATAAGTGGGTACACCGCCAGTTGAAGTAATTTAAAACTAGGATTGAATTTTGCTCCAGAAGTTTTGAGGATGGTGTAGACATAAGTTGAAGCAGAGGAGAGAGGGGTTGCTTTACCTTAAGAAAACAGGAGAGCCGAATCAGGCTGATTCCTTATTTGGTCTGTTGAGTCTCTCTCTAAACATGAAAAAGAATTGAAGTGCATGCAGGGCTAAATACTGCCTTTGATTACACTCATGCAACTGCATTGACCGCAGTGGGGTTGAACAGGTGTAAAGCGGTCCATATAATTAAAGACAATGAACACAACTCAGTAGGAAGGGAAATAATTTATTCCATCAAACCTAGACAAAGTATATAATTCAGACGGCATAGTAGGAAAAAAGGTTTAAATAAAAAAAAATCATTTTACACAGAATTTTTCATGGAAAACTAGCACAAAATGCTTTGCAGAATTAAATATTCCTCCTTCTGTAAAGTACCATTTTAACTATGGAAAGACTTAAGCTGGAATGTTTTTTCTGAATACTCTCAGACCATGGGAAAGATTGAATTTGAATACTGATCTGAACTCTTTGGCTTGGCCACTCTATTGCCTTAACTCATAAATCATATGTAAAAATAATGAGTGTTTCCCTGGTGAAGGTACAGTAGTAATTCACTGATTCAGAAATTATTAGGTCTCTTTATCCAGACTTACCTACCAGCATGAGTGGCATTACACACACAACTGTATTTCTACAGAGACTTTGCAAAAATCAATATAGATCAAATACCTACATGGTCAGTCAGTATAGAGTATATTCGAGCTCCTCTAGCAATTCTCCTGGAGCCAGGCACCTGAGGGATAGATGCCCTCAGCAGAAGGATTGTCATTGTGATATGAGACTGATAGGTACAGGCGTAAAGAGAGAGAGAGAGAGACCAAGTAGATCCTTTGAACTGTGAAGAGTGAAAACACAAAGTATTATTGCTGCAAAAGGGTGCCTGTACAAAATACTTGTTTTCCTAAATAGTCGTTGTATATCCCCAAAAAGTACCATTTGGCTTGTTGTAATTGATTTAATGATGTATTTTGTGTGTATCTGTATTCTGGTTCTCAAACGCTTTTCCACACTATTCTGTTTTTTGTAAGGTATGACTCTGTATAATTTAAGGCTCTAAATCAGTAAGGCACTTTCACATGCTTAACTTTAAGCACTTGAACAGTCCCACTGAAGTCAAGCCAGGTGAGCAAATTTTCTATAATGTAACGGAGTAGTCAGTAGGATTAAACGTGTTCTTAATGTTAAGTGTAGTCTTTGGGGCCTAAATCTGGATGCTCAGACTTTTTTTAAATACCTTCTTTTCCCCCTACTTTAGGGCTGCTGCTCAAAGTAAGATCAGCAACTACAATGAAGCAATAAAAGACTGTGAGAGAGCAATAGCAATAGATCCAAAATACAGCAAAGCATATGGGAGAATGGGGTAAGATAATCCAGATTTATTTAAGCATTCAGGGCTAGAACTTTGGAAGGTGGAAATCAGTGTAGCTCTATTTAAATCAATGGGATAATTCCAGTTTGTGTTGACTGAAGATCTGGTGCTAAAAGTGCAGTTGTTTTCTATGACTGAAGCTGGCATGAGGTTCCATGTACATGCTCTCTCCTAGTGACTTCCTGTCAGATTTGCTCTGTTTACACTACAGATTTTTTTCTTCAGTTTATCAGCATTGCAAATTCAATCTAGGGAGTCAAACTGTGTTCTTTCTCGCTCCTAATCACCAGTAATTATTCTGTAACTGGAACAACAAGTATTCTGTTAATGATAATTAATACAGAATAGAATCCAAGTCCCTCTCTCAAAAGTGTTGGTTTTGCCGAGCTAATAGGAGTACAAACTTATTTTTCTCAGCTAAATAAACCTAGGAAGCAGATCTGTTGAGGTGGAAAGTGCTGTTTATTTAGTAATTCTTCTGACCCTAACATAGCACTCTTAAGTAAATACTGTTATGAATTCACATCTGCACACTTAGGGAAATTCATCCTTATGACTTTTTTTCCAATAGTCCCTGTGCAGAGCGGCTTTTGTGTTGGGGATATTTCCCAGGGTGCCCATGCAGTTGCTTTGTGACTTCTTCGTCCTGTCATAACTGGGTAGGGCAATCCATCATTGCACGCTTAAGCTGTGGGAGTTAGAAACTAGGACCCTTGACACGAGAAATACAGGCCTTTACCACTTGAGTTACAAGCCTCTCTGGCTGATGTTGTAATAGTAACTTGTAGGCAAGACACTGTGATTGCATTGACCCATAAATGCCAAAGCAGGTCTGACATTTCATGCGTCTATATGTCTATAGAGAATCAGACCCCCTCACCAGTAAGAGTGAAGTTCACCTGGTAAGCCTCTTTAAAGAAATTTTAATAATAAAACAAATATCTAGTGTCAAATTCTTCCCTCAGAGGCACATACATGGCTCTAATTGAAGTCAGTGAGATCTGTATATGTGCATGTAATGTCTGACTTTGGTCCTTAGCTTTTTAAATTTCAAAACATGAATTTTAATTCTGAAAATTGAATGAATAGATGAATGCTGCTTCTGTGAATACTAATTGTCAAATCTAGTGAAAAATGTGAATATAGCACAGTGAGAGCTGTCTGGAAGGAGTAAATGGGATTATGCATCTTTACTACCCGAAGTTTTATGAATGTCTCCATGTTTGAAAGGGCTCTTGGCCCTAATCTGAAGGGAGAACTATGGCCAGCATAGTACCAGCTTCTGTAAATGTGTCCGTGCCAAAGTCTGTGGTCTGAAGTGCAGCAGACAATGACTTGGAAAACCCTTATATATTAGAAGTGTCATAGTATTACAATGAAACCCAACAAGACTACAGAAGAGGGACAAATTGTATTAAACATAAGATGACCATATAGGACAACACATATAAAATAGTTACTTATAGTAATTGTGCTTTGTCAGATGGTTGCCTATGTGGATAACGCTCTAGCATGCCACTAGTGCATGAGCTTAGAAGACTTGCCTAAGAAGTGTACATTGGGGCAGCTTGCTTCTCCTCTCCTTCCCATTCTGGGTTCCAAAGAGATTGCGTGGCCCCAAACGTCTTTTAGTTCATATCACTAATTTAGGAATCCCTCTACAAGAGACTGCAAAGAAGTGGAGAAAATGAGCAGGGAGCACAGATCCATATGGGTAGGCATCTCAGGGAGCTGTAATTTCTGTGGTAAGTAAATAGGTTTTTTTCCTTGGAGAATTTCCCATATGAGTTCCAACTTCCCACTCTTAGGAGATTAACAGGTGGGCATGGGGACTGTTCATTTAAAAATGATTGCAGGACTGTTATTCTGAATTGCGTATCAGATTTAGAGCCCTACGTGAGAGAGCAACTCTGTGTGGATGTGGTTACCGAGCTCTAAGAAGCACCCTTGCATATTTCACTAATTGATAACTTGTGAAGGCATGGCCTAGAATAGAGCCAGAAGCATTTGGCATTTTCCTTGGCGGCAAAAAGTTCTTCATAAGGCTTGCCTGTAAGTGGAACATATGCAAGGCTGAGTTCTTGGGGGATCATCTGTGCTACAGAAAGTGGTCTGACAAAAGTAAATGCCAGCGCCAGCCAATATGCATCAATATTTACATTCTGGTAGTAAACTTACATGTATTTTGGAATGATCAGGATCTAAGTTAGTTGTGAGATTCTCTCACTTACTCCTGGGCTAATTAGATCCAAAACTGTTAGTATCATTACTTCTTTGATGTGCTCATACTGGCTTTCTTTATTTTAAACTAGGTTGGCCCTGACCTCTATGAACAAATACCAAGAAGCAATTACCAGTTACCAAAAAGCACTGGTTCTTGATCCAGAAAATGACTCTTACAAGTCAAATATGAAAATAGCTGAACAGAAACTAAGAGACCTCTCCAGTCCTGTAAGTTACCTTAATTAGTTTTTCTTTTCAGTGAGGTTTTTTAATAACTCAAATGGAATTTCCTAGACGTAGTAATCTTCAGATATTATTTGTTTTCAGACTGGAACAGGACTGAGTTTTGACATGGCAAGCTTGATAAACAACCCAGCATTCATTAGTATGGTGAGTATTTTAAGTATATCGTGTTGCTTTTAATTAAGAAACAGAATGTAAAATGTTTTAAATATTACTCCTGCTTCAACAAAGGAAGATGGTTTTAATGCTTATCATAACTAGTGTATACATCCAAAGCACAGGACTTGGTGGTGATGGGGGACTTCAACTACCCAGACATCTGTTGGGAAAGTAACACAGCAGGGCACAGATTATTCAACAAGTTCTTAGAATGTATTTGAGACAATTTTTTATTTCAGAAGGTGAAGAAAGCCACTGCGGAGAGGCTGTTCTAGGTTTGATTTTGACAAATAGAGAGGAACTGATTGAGAATTTGAAAGTGGAAGGCAGCTTGGGTGAAAGTGATCATGAAATGAGAGAGTTCATGAGTCTAAGGACTGGTAGGAGGGAAAACAGTTCAAAAACATAATAGATTTAAAGAGGGCAGACTTTAGCAAACTCAGGGAGTTGGTAGGTAAGATCCCCTGGGGAAACAAGTTGAAAGGGAAAAACAGTTCAAGAGAGTTGGCAGTTTTTCAAAGAGACACTATTAAGGGCATAAGAGCAAACTATCCCATAGTGTAGGAAAGATAGGAAGTATAGCAAGAGACCACCTTGGCCCAACCAGGAGAATTTCAATAACCTGAAACTCAAGACAGTCTTACAAAAGGTGGAACCTAGGTCCTACAAAAAGTGGGGAGGGAAAAGGATGAATATAAACAAATAATACAATTATGTAGGGAAAAAATTGGAAGGGCCAAGGCATAAAATGAGATTAAACTAGCTAGAGAAATAAAAGGAAACAAGAAAACAGTCTACAAAGCTAGAGGAAGACCAAAGACAGGGTAGGTCCATTACTCAATGGGGTGGGGAGGAAACAATAACAGAAAATATGGAAATGGGAGAAGTGCCAAATAACTTTTTTGTTTCAGTTTTCACCAAGAAGTTGAGTCGCAATTGGACAACTAACTTAATGAATGCCAGTGAAAATGAGGTAGGATCAGAAGCTAAAATAGGGAAAGAACAAGTTAAAAATGACTTAAGTTAGAGGTCTTCAAATCACCAGGGCCTGATGAAATACATCGTAGAATACTCAAGGAGCTGACTGAGGGGATATCTGAGCCATTAGCGATTTATCTTTCAAAAGTCAGGGAAGACAGGTGATATTCTACAGGACTGGAAAAGGGCAGATATAGTGCCAGTCTATAAAAAGGGAAATAAGGACAACCTGGGGAATTAGTCCAATCAGGTTAACTTCAGTACCTGGAAAGATAATGGAGCAAATAATTAAGCAGTTAGTTTGCAAACACTTAGAAGATAATAAGGTGAAAAGTAACAGTCAGCATGGATTTGTCAAGAACAATTGTGTCAAACCAACCTAATAGCTTTCTTTGACAGGGTAACAAGCCTTGCGGATGGGGGGGAAGTGGTAGATGTGATATATCTTGACTTTAGTAAGGCTTTTGATACTGTCCTAGATGGAGCTACTATAAGATGGGTGCATAACTGGTTGGAAAACTGTTCCAGAGAGTAGTTCTCAGTGGTACACAATCAAGCTGGAAGGGCATATCGAGTGGGGTCCCGCAAGGATAAGTTCTGGGTCCGGTTTTGTTCAGTATCTTCATCAATGATTTAGATAATGGTATGGAGAATACACATATAAAGTTTGCAGATGAGACCTATCTAGGAGGAGTTGCAAGTGCTATGGAGGATAAGATTAAAATTCAAAATGATCTGGAGAAGTGGTCTGAAGTAAATAGGATGAAATTCAATAAGGACAAATACAAAGTAGTCCACTGAGGAAGGAACAATCAGGTGCACAAAATAGAAAATGCCTGCCTAGGAAGGAGTACTGCAGAAAGGCATCTGGGGGTCATAGTGTATCACAAGCTAATTGAGTCAACAGTGTAATACTTGCGCGCGCACACACACACACACACACACACACAAAAGCAAACATCATGCTCGGATGTATTAGCAGGAGTGTTGTAAGCGAGACACGAGAAGTAATTATTTTGCTCTGTTGTGCAGTGATTAGGCCTCAACTGGAGTATTGTGTCCTCTTCTGGGTGCCACATTTCAGGAAAGATGTGGATAAATTGGAGACAGTCCAGAGAAGAGCAACAAAAATGATCAAAGGTCTAGAAAACATGACCTATGAGTGAAGATTGAAAAAATTGGGTTTGTTTAGTTTGGAGAAGAGAGGTCTGAAGGGGGACATAACAGTTTTCAAGTACATAAAAAGTTGTTACAAGGAGAGGGAGAAAAATTGTTGTTTTTAACCTCTGAGGATAGGACAAGAAGCAATGGGCTTAAATTTCAGCAAGGGCAATTTAGGATGGACATTAGGAAAAACCTCCTGTCAGGGTGGCTAAGTGCTGGAACAAATTGCCCAGGGAGGTTGTGGAATTGCCCAGGGCTGCTAACTGCCACAATCAGCAGAGGGGCAGGCAGCTGGTGTGAGTTCCCCCACCTTCTCAGGGACAGTGGGGCTCTGGCTTCTGGCTTCAGCCCTGGGATGGCGGGCGGCAGGCTCCAGCTGTGGGGCTTTAGCCCTGGGCTCACCACCCACTTTCCCCCATCACCCTTGATCCCCACCACCTTCTCTGGTTGCAGGGCTTCGGGCCCCGGCCGTGGGGCTTCCAGCCCTGGCCCCCAGTCACACAGTGGAGGACACCAGCCTTAGGCTCACCATCTGCTCCCCATCACCCCTGGCCCCCCCACAGCCCCAGGCTTTGGCTGCATGGTGGCAGGCTCCAGCCTGTGAGGCCCCAGGATCCAGCCGTGGGTGTTGAACATAGACTCAATACCCCCCGCTCCCAATCGCTCTGCGCCCCTGCTGTATCCTGTGAGCCTGAGTCAGCTGACCAAGGCCAGCTGCCGCTGTGCCATGGGTCTTTTATTGTAGTGTGGACGTACCTTGAGAGACTCCATTGCCTTTATTCCTGGTGAAGACCTGGCCACTGCGTTCAGGTTTAAAAATTCCCTAAGGGATAAAGTGACCTTATGTATTAAATTGATCAAAAGGTAGGTTTAAAGAGTGTGTGTATTCTCAACATGTGCCTAAACCTACACTTAAATCATACAAGGTTTGCCACTCTGGTATATTTGGTCTTTCCATACTTATGTATGTGCCTACCAGCATTTGTATGTTAAGTATAACACAGGCACCACTATAGTAAAGTGGAGGTTGACTAAAATGGACTAGTCAAGCAAAGCACTTTGGGTTCACTTTATGCAATGTCCATTTTAATTAGGCCTCCTTATAACTCTGTGCTGCAGTGCTCCCTCTTCAAATCCTTACAGGCCATCTTTTCCCTGCAGAACCATAGACATATGGAAAGAGACCTATTACGTCATTTAGTCCATCAATTTATGTCACAGACCTGGTGCGGATCCCCTTGCCAGTTGCCCACTAGATTAAGGACCCAGCTTCTGGGTCCCCAGGTGTTTTAAGCCTCTCAGAGCTTGAGCAGAGTCCAGCCGTTGGCCTGATCTTGGGGTCCCTAGGTACACACTCAGGGTGCTGACATGCTGTCTAGTAGGGATGTAAATACCATTTTAAAAGTTAACTGTTTAAATGGTTAACCGGCTGAGGCTGCTCCAGCAGGCACTGGGATGCTGGGGCCGGCTGGCCTGGGGTTAACAGTTAAGGTGGGTTAACCGGTAAGATTAATACTTACCGGTTAACATTTTACATCCCTACTGTCTAGCACCTTCTTCTGAGAGCTGGAACCTGCTATCCAGCTGCCTAGCTCCTATGCTCATTGCTGACCCTTCAGACTCCACTGTACTTAGGTCTGGTCTACATTAGAATTAGGTCGACACAAGGCAGCTTACACCGATCTAACTATGGAAGTGTCTACACTTAAATTTCACTGCCCCCCCATGTAACTGCCCAGCTATGCTGACTTGACTCTACCTCCGCAAGTGGTTGAGTCAAGGTCGATGTAGTTAGGTTGACGCAGTGTCAGTGTCGATACTGCGTTGCTTACATTGACTGTTAACTGGCTTTCAGGAACCATCCCACACTGACAATACATAAGTACAAGAGCTGCTGGTGAGGATGCACACCGCCGACACAAGTAGCAAAGTGTAGACACCCACAAGCAATGTAATTAATGCAGAGGCTGTTTGCCTTTGTAAATTAGGATGACTTAATTTTGTAGTGTAGACATAACCTTAAACACATCCTCTTTCAGAATTCTGCCCCCAAGGTGTGTGCCTTCTCTTTTATCATTTAACTCTTTCCTCCGGTATGTGAAGCATGTAACACACAGACACTTTGCCCAGGGTCTAACACAATTGCTCTTTTATTTAATCATATAAAACACAAGAGAATAATGATCATACAAAAGAAACCCTACATGTGTTTCCCTGCCTCAGTTTCCTCATCACTCCAGAGCATTCTTTGGTCTGGGGTTGGGGGCTATTCAGATACTGTCTGCTCCCATGCACGGCTTCTCCTGAAACATGGAGCCTGCTTTTCCTAAATCAGCTTGCCTCCTTTACCTTTGGACAATTTAGCCCCTGCCTTAGCTTCCTGTCCATCTCTCTGCTGAGCAAATACATTTAGCATATCTATATGGACCAATTAAAAGGTAAGTATTCTCCCATTGTCTCCAATGTGGGGAGCTTTCAGGCTGGTAGGATATTGTGAATACATATTCATGATACAGTAGTTTTTCAACAGTCACACTTCATTTATATCAACCGGAACGCATAAATTGTACAGACAGATCCCCAAATTGTCACACCCTATCATTCAAGATTGCTCCCTACATAACATTTTAAATGCTTTGTCCAGTCTTGTGTCAAGCAATGGGGTTTTCACTGTTTCCAGGGTGAGGCTATTCCAAAGCAGAACAGATTTTGCTGTCAGCAGTGGGGAATTAGCCACTGGGTCAACGAGGCCCATGCCCAGGGGCTCCAGACAATTGGGGGGCCGCAGAAAGATGGGCATGCTGACCCGCTCTGCCCCCCTGCCCGGCGCTCTTGCTGAGGACCGG